GAGAGATATTAAGGATTAAAGCAGAAGTATTTGCTGGAAAGAAGAAAAGCAGTGGGGTATGATATGAAAACACAGGGGAATATCTCAAAGTACATTATGTGTATGTGAATGTTTGGGAAAATAATAACTAAAAAAGAACAAGTAAGCAACCTTTGTGTTTTCTAAGATTAATTATTCCCAGAGAAATTTATTGTCATATAAAATTCTAAATCAAGTAGAAGCAATAGGCTTTGTGGAGTGCTTGCCACTGCCAATATTTTGCTTAGTTAAGTTCTTTCTTAGGTAGCAGAGTTTAAAGAAAACATTAGGTATGGTAGTTATTGTATAAGGTTTGGCTTAAATATTTAGGCAAAATTTTACTTCCTAATCATAAATACAAATATTGATATTTTGATGAAACCTGCTATAGTTTAACTTCTTTGAACAAATATATAACATACTAGGTTATCTTAAAGAATTTATAATGTAAATTGCATTATTATTGTAAACCTTCAGATTTATTAAAATTGAATATCAATCATGTCTAAATCATTATATATGAATCTACAATTATACATGAAACCACAGATTCTATTACCAAATATATTAAACTCATTACTATTTGGTTATTTTACATTTATTCATTTGATACCTTCCTTCCTTCCTTTCTTTCTTTCTTTCTTTCTTTCTTTCTTTCTTTCTTTCTTTCTCTCTTTCTTTCCCTCCTTCCTTATCTCTAAACAGGGTCTAGTCCTGGCTGCTCTAGCATTGACTTTATAGATCACGCTGGTATGTCTGTTCCCAAATGGTAAGAGCAGGAGTTTCTCCTCCCTTTCTCCTCCCCATTGCTCCACTTTGCCTCACTCCTAGATCCATTCCTTCCAGGTTTCCTTCAGAAAAGGACAGACCTAGCATGTCTTTGGATGTAATTTCTTGCCAGGACAATCATTTTGCTGGATTAAAATTCTTCTGCAGAAAGCAAAAAAATTATGAAGAACAAGTATTAACAAACTTTCTGTTGAAGGACAAATGATTTTAGAAATATTAATTAAATCAATAAAAGGCTTAGAAAATGGAAGTCAGAAATCTCAATGTAAAATCCTGTCCTTTGGTATCAGAGATAACAAGAATACATATCACCACCTGAATAGGAAGACTACTGGAAAATAGGTAACCGAAATGCAGAGAAAGAGGCTAGTCATACTACAGAACTTAAACAGTAGATATGTTCTTAAATAATTAACACATATCTATTTAATACAAAACACATTAAGTTTTTTTCACCTTCAATATTTAAATAATCAACAGTTCTCTGAATATTGATCATTTTTAAAGGAATCCTCTGATTGATATGTATAATAATTTCCTTTTAAAAAGAAGCAGGCAAATTTGGAAGAAGAAGGTATTATCTCCCAAGAACCATAAACTGATAAAAAATTCAGACAGTAACCATCATTCTAACTAAATGATAGTGTCTTACCTATTAAGAATTAAAAGAATTGAGTTGATGGGATAGATGGAGTGGGTAGGCAGCACTTATCCAACTTTTGAATAGAATATAGATTTAGGTTTGGGAATGTATCCAATGTTCATTAATATTTACCAACACTTTTGCTTCAGAAACACATATACTAAAATTGGAACAATACAGAGAAGATGGGCATGGCCCCTGCACAAGAATGACATGCACATTCATGAAGCGTTCCACAGTTTTAATAGTCACTGGTCATTTAATAACCCTCAATGGACTCAATTTCCCAATAAAAATACAAAGACTAACAGAATATCCATCAAATTCAGGATCCATCTTTCTGTTGTGCACAAGAAACATAATTCAGCAATAAAGATAGAGAATAAGTAAGAATAAAGGGCTGGAAAATGTTTTCCAAGCAAATGGACCCAAGAAGTCAGCTGGGGTAGCTATTCTACTATCTAATAAAATATATTTTCAACAAAAGTCAATTAAAATTCAGGGAAGGACACATTATACTCATCAAAGGAAAAAATCTACCAAGATGATACCTCAATTCTGACCATCTATGCCCCAAACACCAAGCATCTACATTTGTAAAAGAAATGTTGATTAAAGCTTAAATTGCAATCAAAACCCACACATTAATAGGAGACTTTACCACCCAACTCTCACCAATTGACAGGTCATCCAGACACAAACTAAACAGAGAAATAATGAAACTACTGGACATTATGAATCAAATAGACCTAATAGACATCTATAGATAATTTATCCCAAACACAAAAGGATAGTTTTCTCGGCACCTCATAGATCCTCCTCCAAAATTGATGATATAGTTGGTCACAGAGCAACCCTCAACAGATACATGAAAATTGAAATACTGCCTTGTATCTTAACAGACCACCATGGATAAAAATGTATTTCAACAGCAACAGAAACACCAGAAAGCCTACACATTCATGGAAATTGAACAATTGTCTACTCAATGATCTCTGGGTCAGAGAAGAAATGATGAAAGAAATTAAAGACTTCCTAGAATTCAAGAAAATTAAGGCAAAACATAACCAGTATTATGCGACACAATTACAGCAGTGTTAAGATAATTCATATCATTAAGTTCCTCCATAAAGAAATTAGTAAGTTCTCATACTCACAATTTAAAAGTACACCTGAAAGCTCTAAGAGAAAACAAAAGAAAACAAAACAACAAAAACAATATCAGCATCAACAAAAAATTAAAAAAAGCCCCAACACTTTAGAGAGAAGTGAGGAACTAATGAAAAGCAGGCCTCAAATTCATCTATTGTAAACAAATAAAACAATACAAAAAATCAATGATACCAAGTGCTGGTTAATGAGAAAAAAGCCAACAATATAAAAAGCTCCAAACCAAACTAAACAAAAGACAGAGGCAGTATTCAAATAAACAAAATCAGAAGTGAAAAGGAAGACATAACAAAAGACAATAAGGAAATTCAAAGAATCATTACTTCTTATTTCAAAACCGTATAATCCACAAAGTTAGAAAATGTTAATAAAATGGATGTTTTTTCTAGGAATATACTACTTACCAAAGTTAAATCAAAATCTGGTAAAGTATTTTTAAAAGTCCAATAAACACTAAGGAACTAGAAGCAGCCATTTAAAATCTTACCAATAAAACCCTAGGGACAGATTGATTGTGTTAGCACAGACCCACCAGAGTTTCAAAGAAGAGCTAACACCAATATTCCTCAAATTACTCTACAAAAATAGTAGCAGAAGAAACAGTGCCAAATTTATTCTATGAAGCCACAGTCACCCTGATACTTAAACCACACAAAACCTCAACAAAAATAATAGAATCTCAGACCAATTCTTCTTATGGAATATTGATGCAAAAATACTTAATAAAATATTCACTTACCTATTCCAGGTATGCATCAAAAACATCATCTATCTTATCAAGTAGACTTTATTCCAGGGATGCAGGGATGGTTCAATAAATGAAAATCCATCAATGCAATCCACAATGTAAACAAACTGAAAGAAAAAATCATATGATTCGCTCATTAGATGTAACTATTTGACTTGTATTCTAGGACAGCGTCTACCTTCTGTACTCGTTGTATGCCTTATAAACTTTTAGAAACAAGTGAGACAATAAAAACAATAATGGGAATAGTCTGGCACATGAAGGGACCACTAAAAGTAACAACAATATCAAAAAAACAAACCAAAAACCAAGCCAAACAAACACACCAAGTACCGAACCAGATATAAGGATATCTCAAAGTTGTTGGTGTATCTTTTTTTAAATTTATTCATGTTACATCCCAATTGCTGTTCTGCCTCTCAGTTTCCCCTCCAAACAGTTCTCCCTGAATCCCCTCCTCCCAATCTCCCCATCTCCTGTGAGAGGTTGGAGGACCTCCTAGGAATCCCCCCACCCTGGCACATCACATTTCACTCCCACTGAGTCCAGACAAAGCAGCTCAATTGAGGAAGAGAATCCACAGATAGGCAGCAGCATTCAGCTGTACCCCCACTCCAGGTGTTAGGGGATCTACATGAAGACCAAATTTGACTTTTGCTACAGATATATATATATATATATATATATCTGTATGAACTCAGCAGTATACTTTTACGAATGTATATGTATATACAAAACCAAAATGATAAGAATTAAAAGTTAGAGGACATGAAACTTAGATATGGAAGTAAATAAAAAGAGATCATTTACTGTACCTATATATACAGTTCACAAAAAAATTAATCAAAGAATTCAATTGTCCTTTTAACTTATGCCTATATTTTTGTTGATAATTTTATTATAATAAAAGGTAAATTCTAACCTGCATTCATACTTACATCTCTGAGGGTAAAAAAATAAAGAGTTAGTTTGGAAAGAAATCAATTAAGGGAAGAATAATTGTTTTAATACAATAATGTGCAATAAATTTAAGCAAAACTATTGTGCCCTGCTCAAATGCTTTTGCCATTAATCACTTCAACTAACGACATTTTTCTAAGGCAATTTCATCTGGAAGCCATCCAAATGCTAAGGACTAAGTGATTTTTTACTTCGAACTCTTGGATAGGTCTACTTGAGGTAACAGCTGTCATGAATCTGACAATTAAGGCCATAGATGCTTAGATGTGCTAATTCAGAATGGCATTTCTAAGTTTTCCCTAAGCTTTCTTTTGTGATTCAACAGAAAGAAGAGAAGTGGATGAATTTCTTCCTACTCTTCTCAATGTCTCATAACTGTAAGAAACATTTATCTCATGTTCCTCGTCAACTTAGGCAAATATTATAAAACAGTTAGAAATGTAAGAACTATTTGAATTCACATACATAATGACATTACACATTAGTTTTTCAAAAAGTCTACTTTTAATTTTTAGCAGTGTTACTTTCTTTCCCTACTAGAATTGTATCTTATCAACTAATTCAAGTGATTTTGCTTCTATTAAATTGTTAAACAGGTTAAATGTACTACTTTGCATTCATAAGAACATTTCTATTTATGTATTAGCATAGAATCAACTTTGCTTTACCTCATTATTCCATAGTGTCCCAATCAAAATCATATAAAATCATTGCCAACACATTAATAACTCTATAGTTACATTAACTTCATATATATCTTTCCACCCATATATTTAATACCATTTTATTTTCTACATGTTCAACATTTTTAGGAAATGATACACTGTTCTGGCAACATATGACATAATATGAATATCAAAAATGAATATGCCTAGTATACCACAGGTTGAATACTGATTAAATAAATACATGTACATGCTATTATCTTTATAAGAATAAATAAAATTAACTTCTAAGGTGGGTAAGAGGCCAGAGGCTCTGAAAGTGTACCTCAGTTCATCTTCCAGAGCCTACATTGGACCCAATAATTACATATACCTCCAGCTCTGGCGGATATTACAAGCTGTGACCTATGTAGATAATGCTATGTATCTTGTTTCCATAAACTCATATAGAAAACAGCACAGTGTTTTTAAGATAAGTTCTCTTTATGTGGTCTTAATGTTCTTTAAATTGCTCAGTATAGCAGTGTGGCCTTGAACTCAAAGAAGACTTTGTCCCTGAATCACAACAGCTGGAATTAAATGTTATATATATATATATATATATATATATATATATATATATATATATATATTAGTATTTATATATATATTAGTATTTATATATAAACATGAACTTTTAAAAATGTATAAATATATAACAAAACACAGCCTATTTTCTAATGAGTGACAATGATTTCATTGAGCCAAATAGTTAACTACTTTTGTTAGAGGTATTCTAAATAATTAATAATTCCAAAAGTTTCTTTTCAAATAGTGTTAAATTGCTTCTCTCTTTTCTCCCTTTTAAAGATACTCTTTTTATTGAAACTAGATTATTTTTCCAAAATTATATTCTGACTAATATTTCCTCTACCTCTCTCTTCTCCCCCCAGTTGTACTTTTTTTTCCATTTTTATTGTTTATTTTATTTATTTACATTTCAAATGTTATCCCTTTCCAAGTTTTCCCTCCAGAAACCCTCTATCCCATCCCCCCTCCCTCTGCCTCTATGAGGGTGCTCCCCAACTCGCTCATCCACTCCTGTCTCAGTGCCCTAGTATTCCCCTACCCTGGGTCATCATATGTCCACAGGACCAAGGGGCTTTCCTCCCAATGATGTCACATAAGGCCATCCTCTGCTACATATCCATCTGGAGCCATGGGTCCCCCCATGTGTACTTTTTGGTTGGTGGTTTAGTCCCTGGGAGCATTGAGGGATCTGGTTGGTTGATATTGTTGTTCTTCCTATGTTGCAAACCCCTTCGGTCCCTTCAGTCCTTGCTCTAACTCCTCCATTGGGGTTCCTGAGCTCAGGCCAATGTTTGGCTGCATGCATCAGCGTCACATCTGTATTGGTCAGGCTCTGGCAGAGTCTTTCAGGGGACAGCTATACCAGGCTTCTGACAGCAAGCTCTACTTTACTGCACCTCCAATCAGGAACTACTCTTTTTCTGTCTCTGATTAGAAAAGAACAGGCTTCTAAGAGAATACAAAAATAAAATAAAATAAAAGACAAAATGAAATACAGTCTGGTAAAACAAAACCATCAGATGGAAGTTGGATAAGGCAAACCTACAGAATTAAAAGATCCCACAGAGATGCATAAAAATCAGAACCCCACTCATCCACACACTCAAGAGTCTCATAAAGATACTAAGTGA